GTTCTTGGTCTCCCGCCTTCTCCTGGTCCTGCTCCTCCCTTAGAGTGTCCACAGCCTGTCCAGTCGCAGTCACAGTTACAGCCCGCCTCCCCACTGCCTGCTCCTTCTCCCTACAATGGTCCTACTGGAGGTCTTGCTGAGCGTCGTGCGCCTGCGTCTCGTCCTGCGTCGCCTGTTCGTGCTGTTCGCGCTAGTCGTCGTGTTCCGCGTCAGCGTCCTCCTGCGGTCCCGGGCACGCACCAGATGCCACTGCGTCCTTCCACTGCTCCGCAGCGCGTCCCTTTGCCGTCTCCTCCAGAGCCCTCTCTTCCTGCTCTTGCTGACCCGGAGTCTGACTCTCTTCGTGCTGCCAGTCCTACTGTCACGCGTCTCCTGGCTACTGTTGTCACTGACCCTTCCTTTGAGTCCACTGCTGCGTCTGCCTTAGTTGCTGAGCTTGTCGACTTCGCTGCTCACTATCGTCTGGACTACGCCGCGAGTCTTGTTGCTGAGTCTGAGTCTGTCTGTCCTCCGTCCGTCGAGGGTGAGTGTGCTCTTAGCACGGACGTCCTTGAGGGCAGGCAGGAGGAGTTCCAGTGTTTTGCTGCTGCTTTGCCTCATCTCGTGTCCATGCTGATTGCCCCTGAGGGAGACCCGGATGCACCAGACATCCCGACTCCTCGATCGTACGCTGAGGCGATCGAGGGTCCCTACTTCTCACAGTGGCAGTCAGCCATGGACGCAGAGATGGCTTCCTGGAAGTCCACAGGCACCTACGTCGACGAGGTTCCCCCACCTGGGGCGAACATCGTCAGTGGCATGTGGATTTTCAGGGTGAAGCGGCCGCCGGGTTCTCCGCCTGTCTTCAAGGCGCATTACGTGGCTCGAGGCTTCAGTCAGCGGCAGGGAGTTGACTACTTTCAGACCTTCTCTCCCACCCCGAAGATGACACTCTTCGGGTGCTGCTGCACATAGCCGCTCAGCGCGACTACGAGCTTCACTCTCTTGACTTCAGCACTGCTTTCTTGCAGGGCAGCCTGCACGAGGAGATCTGGCTGCGCCGCCCACCTGGCTTCACTGGGTCGTTTCCTCCTGGTACCCAGTGGAGCCTCCGGCGGCCAGTCTACGGTCTCCGCCAGGCGCCCCGTGAGTGGCACGACACATTGAGGACTACACTTGCGGCTCTTGGGTTTGCTCCTTCTACTGCCGACCCGTCGCTGTTTCTGCGCACCGACACCTCTTTGCCGCCGTTCTACATCCTCGTGTACGTTGACGACTTGGTCTTTGCCACTGCTGACACTGCTGGACTCGCCCACGTGAAGTCCGAGCTGCAGAAGAGACACACGTGCACAGACCTGGGTGAACTGCGCAGCTACCTTGGCTTGCAGATCACCCGGGACAGAGCACAGCGCACCATTACCCTGACTCAGTCACACATGGTGCAGCAGGTCCTTCAGCGCTTCGACTTCACGTACTCCTCGCCTCAGGCCACTCCTGTGTCTACTCGCCACTCGCTCTCAGCTCTGCCTTCGGATGAGCCCGTAGAGCCGAGTGGCCCGTACCCAGAGCTTGTTGGCTGCCTCATGTACCTGATGACCTGCACTCGACCTGACCTTGCATACCCTCTTAGCATCTTGGCACGCTATGTTGCTCCTGGGAGACACCGACCAGAGCACATGGCTGCAGCGAAGAGGGTGTTGCGCTACTTGTGCAGTACGTCGGGCATGGGGCTAGTGCTTGGAGGGCGGCGTTCAGTGGTCCTCACAGGTCACGCAGACGCTTCTTGGGCTGACGACCAGGCTATGCAGCGGTCGTCACAGGGTTACACCTTCAGCCTTGGTTCCGGTTCTGTTTCGTGGCGGTCTACCCGCTCGTCTTCTGTTCTCGGCTCCAGCTGTGATGCTGAGATCTACGCCCTTTTTATTATATCCTACCCCCCAAAGGCTTTGCTGTACCATTGGGAAGTCAAGATCAATATAGAAATTAGAAGGATAGTTGTGTTGACTTGTAAAATTGATGGTACTGTGTTTTGGTAGATTTCTTTTGCCTTCTTTATTGACTTGTCTTTGTTCTTACGCGTGCATATGTGTGTGTCTGTCTGTATGTGTCTCTGTGCGTGTGTGTGTATGTGTGTGTATATTCACCCATGTGCATCTATCATTGCATTAACAATGCATATCTGTGTGTTTTTTAAAAATGGTCAACCGTCATTTCCGAGAAGGTTCTTTGCCCACTCAGTGAGTGTGTTCACTTGAACTGGATTTGACGGATCTTGATCATTTTTTTAGGTTACACAGATTGTGTTGTTTCATGTAACAGTTGGATGACCCAAGAACTATGCTATGAGAAAATAGTAGGTAGGGTTAGGAGCCATAGCTAGGTAAGTCCTAGCTAGGCAAGAGAAGTTTAGGCAAAAGAAGAAGAAGAGGGTTCACTAGAAAGCAGCAGGATACATATAGGAAACCCTAAGGGGTTGTACTCGCTATAGAGTACCCCACTGCAGGCTAGAGAACAATGACATTCTGACACACCCCCATAGCCAAAGTGGGGTGTAATCAGCAGAGCAAGCAAAGTAGAACAAGCTCAGGGTGGATCACAATGTCACCACACATTCTGAGCACAAGTACAAGAAGCAATAGTTTAAAGTTCACACTTATGAGCAAAGCTAGAGGCTATCGCAGAGGGCAAGTGAGGAGGAGGAGGCGAGAGTGAGAGGAGAGGAGATAGGAGGCGACGGCTGAAGCTGCAGACACACGGGCAACAGGAGTCACACTGGCACAGCGGCTACCGGAACAACGCTCCGGACTACTGGAGTAACTGGCTCCGCGGCTAAAAGTAGCGGCAGACGAGCAACGGACCCACGGGCGACTGGCACAGCTGGCTGCGACTGGGCTACCGGAGCAACTCCCCGGACTACAGGTGCTGCTGGCGACACGACGGCAACCTCAGTTCAACCTCCCCAAACAGTCCCACTCCCCCTGACACACACCCCCTGCTTCACCCCTAGCTCCACTCCCCCTTCACCCCCCTTAGTACCACTCCGACGGCTCCAACAGGTCCACCCCCCTCAGCGGCAGCTGCAGCACTGGGAGACGGAGGAGGAGGAGGAGCAGGGGACGGCACACAGAAGCTGCACCCCCATACCCCCCACCCCCAAACCCTAATTCAGGAGAACGGGCAGCAGCAGGGGTGGGGCGCCATCAGAAGCACGGGGGACAGCGGGCAGCGCAGGGGCAGCGAAGAACGGGCCGCCCACGGGCCTGGCACAGCCGCCCGAACCGCGCGCAGGCGGCCCGAGCCGCGCGCGGGCCTGGCGCAGCCCGTACGGGCCGCGCGCGGGCCTGGCGCAGCCCGTACGGGCCGCGCGCAGGCTGTACGAGCCGCGCGCAAGCCACGACGGGCGACGGGGGGCGACGCGCGGGTCCCCGTCGCCCGTCGCAGCGCCTCCCGGGAGCGACGCGCGGAGTGACGGGGCAGAAACCCGCCGCGCGCCTCGGGGCGCACGGCGGGCAGAAAACCGCCGCACGCTCCGAGCGCGCGACGGGATGAAAAATCCGTCGCACGCCACGGGGCGTGCGACACAGAGAGTAGCAGTAGCAGCGGAAGCAGTGAGGTGGTGAGCCCACCCACAGGATCGACCCAAGGGGATCGACCTGCTCTGATAGCATGAGAAGATTAGAAGGTAGAGAAGTTTAGAATGAAGAAGAAGGGGGTTCACTAGAAAGCAGCAGGATACATATAGGAAACCCTAAGGGGTTGTACTCGCTATAGAGTACCCCACTGCAGGCTAGATAAACAATGACATTCTGACATGCTACTGACTTCCCCCTCATGCTAGGCAGGGGATGCGGTAGCATAGGGTCTGGGTCAATTAACTGTTATGCATTTTCATCATGCTATGCATTCATTTCACTACATTGGACATATACCTAAACATATATACTATATTCACCACAATAGCATATGCATCATATTTATGCATTTCACGTTTAATTTTTGGTTCACCATATCCATCACTATTCTTAAACTATGCATAATACCATTCGGCATAATGCATTACAGAATAAACAGCTACGCATTCACAGTAACATCATTGTGATAACCCATGTTCATGTTTCATCCACATAGTATAGGTTCAGTCAAGGCAAACTAGGAAATGAGAAAGAAAGTTGTACGACACGTGCTAAACTGCCGTGGCAAATACATACCGGTAACAGTCAATCACTTAGCTATCATTCACTAGGTTTTTCTCATTTTCTTTTTATTTCTTAGTATAGATGATGAAAAAAAAAATGTACATAACGATTGTAATAGGTTGCTTCGCAACCCAAAAAGAAACCCATTGGTATCTGGGTGGTTCGGAGAGGCTTTGAAAGCGTCTTCAGAGAATTTACACGTGGTGCAAACAGATTTATATCGGTGAATGACGGTATTTTCACAAAGCCAGCTGCCTGGCAGCATGCGAGAATGGTTGAACACTCTCAGATTGCTCACTAGTTTCACCCACGGTTGCAATTTACGGAGGCGGTCATCACTACCATACCTATTTAGGTGTCGAGCAGGCCTTGGATCTAATCCCAGAAGGAAGCCTCCTTCTCCACCGATTCCCGCTTAGCCTCCGTAGTGCAAGCTTTGCAAGATCTACTATCGCTAAGATGTCGAGCCGAAAAGAGGAATTTCGGAAAGGGACGCGACCTAAGCACGAGGACGGTGACGGTCACCGACGGAAGGCGTTCCGGAGGCCGACGGAGGGCGACTCGGGTGACGATTATTCGTCTGACGAGGACGCGATGCCGAAGGGAAAGCGTGCGAAAGAATCTGTCGCGTCGCGAGGCCGAGGCACGGATGCTGGCGAAAGGAGGAAGGTTGCGAAAGGTTCTGCGAGCGACAAGCGAGCAAAGGGTGCGGCTGACGTGTCGCTTAAGGATCGGCCGAAGGTTCAATATTCGTCGGACGAATATTCTGCGGATGAGGATGACGACGAAGAAGCGGATCTCGTGCATCGGAAGAAACGCGACGGGATGCACAGCCGAGTCAATGGCGATGGGAAGGCGAAAGAAGGGAAAGGCCTGAAGGGCGAGGAGGGGAAATTGGGTGTCTCGGGAGGTAAAGAGTCCGGGAAAGTGAGCTTTAAGAAGGGAAAAGGGTTTCGAGACGATGATGAGGACGGGGAAAGGGAAGAGAAGGGTGGGAAGCGCAAACGATCGTTTCGGCCTGGTAGGAAGGACGAGGAGAGCGAGGAGTGGGACGAGGAGGAGGAGGAGGATGGGCCGGAATTGGTTGGGCGGGAAGCGAAGGGGGGAGTGGCGCGAAGGGAGGAAGATTTGCGGAGGAAAGGGGGTGAGCGCGAGGGGCGCGAGGTGGGGCGGGAAAAGGAGAAGGGCAAAGGGAGAGAGAGGAGCGAGAGGGAAAGGATTGAGAGAGAGAGAGAGAGCGGACGAACGCGAGAGGGAAGAGCGAGCAAGGGAGAAGATGCGGCGGGAGAGGGAGAGAGAGAAGGAAAGGGAACGGGAGAGGGAGAGGGAAAGGGAGAGGGAAAGAGAGAGGGAGAGGGAACGGGAGAAGGAGAGGGAAAGGGAGAGAGAAAGAGAGAGGGAGAGGGAGAGAGAGAGGAGGGAGAGGGAAAAGGAGAGAGAAAGGCGGGAAAGAGAAAAGGAGAGGGAGAGGGAAAAGGAGCGGGAAAGGGAAAGGGAGAGGGAGAGGGAAAAGGAGAGGGAGAGGGAAAAGGAGAGGGAAAGGGATCGCGAGTCGAGAAGGCGAAGGAGAGAGGCGGACGATGAAGGGGATGATGGGGGGAGGAAGGCGCAGGGGGAGGAGGGGCGGCGGAAACGCGCCAAAGAAGATGAGGTTGGGCGGGGTGAGAGAGGCACAGAGACGAAGGCGGAGAAGGAGAAGGGGAAAGATGAGGGGAAGGGGAAGGAGAAGGTTAAAGAGGAGAAGGGGAAGGAAGAGAAGGGGAATGAGGAGAAGGGGAAGGAGAAGGGGAAGGGCGGTGAGGGGGAGGAGGAGATGGATGCGGAGCAGCGGAGGCTGGCGGAGGAGATGGAGAGGCGCAGGCGGCGGGTGCAGGAGTGGCAGGAGCAGCGCAGGAAGAAGGCGGAAGAGGAGCAGGCGCGCGCAGCTGCAGGCGCAGTGGGGGAGGGCGGAAGCGGGGGCGCGGGAGGGAGCAGCGCGGCGCAGGCGGGTGGCGGGGGGAAGGGGCGCGGGTGGACTCTGGATGGGGAGTCGGATGATGAAGAGGAGAAGGGGGCCGCCGGGGATATGGAGGGGAAGGAGGGGAAAGGGGGGAAAGGGAAGGGGAAGGAGAAAGTGGAGGAAGAGGGGGAGGGAGGGGAGGGACGGGGAATGGATTTGGACGAGGGAGGGGAGGGAGAGAAGGGGGAGGACGAAGAGGAGGGAGAGAAGCAGGAAAGGGACCTGAAGGGGAAGGGCAAGGTGGAGGAGGAGGCAGCAAAGGAAGAAGCAGCAGAGGAGGAAGAGGAGGTGGATCCTCTAGACGCGTTCATGAACTCGCTGGTGCTCCCAGAGGTCGCCAAGCTAGATGCCAAGGATGCCACCCGGCCCGCCGCCCCCACGGGAAGCACGGAGCCGGCAGTGGGTGGCAGCAGTTCGTCCCGTGCTGCCAACGGTGGAGATGCGCTGATGGGCGCGGGGGCTGTTTTAGGGGCTGACAAGGGTGGCGCCAAGGGAAAGAAAGAGAAGGAGAAGGAGAAAGGGAAAGCAGAGGGGAAGAGGAAAGCTAAGGGACCCAAGGGGCGCATGGTGTTTGGTGTTGACTCTGAATCAGAGGACGAGGGGGGAGGGGCGGGCGAGTCAGGTGATGAGGAGGGAGAGGGCGAGGAGGGGGGAGAGGGCGGAAAGAAGGGAGAGGAGGAGGATGCGGAGTTTGTGAAGCGAGTGACGGCCGTGGCGCAGACCAAGGCGGAGAAACTCGCCCCTGTGGACCACTCGCAGGTGCGCTATGGGCTGTTCAAATCCTTTGAAACGCGTCAGAGCTGTTCTTATCAAACTGTGCGCCCTCTTTCAAAAGGCCTCGCAGGAAGGTGTTTGAGGGTCAAACGTTTCGAAATCGTCAAGAAAGGACTCGATAAAGTCTTCTTCTAGTGCCTTGAAGGCTTTCTACCTTCAGGTCAGTCAGCTACCTACCTTCACATCCCGGAGGACCACTGGCGGGCAGGGCAGGTGCACTGCAAGCCATTCCGCTCCTTTGAGACGTCTCAAGAGAAATTCACGCACCTGAAACGCCTCGCTAGCTATTCGAGGCGCCTGAAAAGTTTCAAACCTCGCTTATTCACACAAACCCGTACACGTTGGCAGGCAGGTGGCAGGTGCACTATGCGCCATTCTAAAAGAGCTCTGAACGGAGATGAAGGAAGGATGTGGCACGGATGACAGCAGACAGCAGATGACAGCTCTGTACCGGCGCGAGCACGAGTTCAAGCTGCGTGGCAAGGACGTGCCCAAGCCAGTCCTTGAGGAGCCTCACCCCCCACTCTCCCCCACCATCCTCCCTCTCCCTTTCCCCCCTTTTTCGCCCCGTCCCTCCCTTTCCCATGAACCCCTGGCAGGTGCACTACGAGCCTTTCCGAAAGAATTTCTACAAGGAAGTGAAGGAAGTGGCAAAGATGACAGCAGACGAGGTGGCGCTGTACCGGCGAGAGCACGAGTTCAAGCTGCGCGGCAAGGACGTGCCGAAGCCGGTGCACACGTGGGTGCAGAGCGGGCTGAGCAACAAGGTGCTGGACGTGCTCAGGAAGATGGGGTTCGAACGCCCCATGCCCATCCAGGCGCAGGCGCTACCCATCGTGATGAGTGGAAGGGACTGCATTGGGATCGCCAAGACTGGGTCGGGGAAGACTCTGGCGTTTGTTCTGCCCATGCTGCGGCACATTATGGACCAGGTGGGTGGGGAGTGTTCGGGGTGATGTGATAGCGTGATAGATGTTGGAGCGGATGGGGGGGGGGAGGAGGATGTTCGTAGTGGGGGGCGGGAGTAGCGGCATGACATGTCATGGTCATGAACCGGGTGGGGGGGAGGGGAGGTGAGGTGAGGGGGTGGGTGAAGGAGCAGGCGCTGCCGATCGTGATTAGGGGCGCGACTGCATTGCATTGGGATTGCCAAAGCTGGGTCGGGGTGGCATTTGTGCTGCCCATGCCAAGACACATTATGGAGCAGGTAATAGGGGGGTGGGGAGCGAGGGGAGAATGGGAGGGTGGTGGGGGTGCGGTGAAAGGGACTGGTTTGGCACATGTTGCCTGAACAGATGCTGGCGCTTGAGCTGCTCGTTCTGTGCAACAGTTTGGACCAGGTTGGGGGGCGGGAGGGGAAGGTGAGGGGAGGGGAGGAATGGGAAGGGGAGTCGGGCAAAATATGGACCGAGCAAGGGGAAGGGCGTTTCAGGGGTTGAGTAAGAGGATTAGCATAGCGCTAGATTGGGGAGGTAACATTATACAGAGGCATCCTTCCTTGACTTTCCGCTCTGCTTCCCTCCCTTCACCTCTCCCTGCCCCTCCCTTCCCTTGCACCAGCCCCCACTGCAGTCAAGCGACGGCCTCATCGGTCTCATACTGGCCCCCACGCGTGCAGCAGCAGAGCATTGAGCTCCCCCTTCCTCCTCCCCCCTTCCCTTCCCCGTCCCCCCCTCCCCCCCTCTTCCCCATCCCCCAATCCTACGCCCCTCTCTTGCCACAGCCTCCCCTGCAATCAGGTGACGGTCCCATAGGCCTCATCCTGGCCCCCACGCGCGAGCTCGTGCAGCAGATCTTCGCCGACATCCGCCGCTTCGCGCGCCCCCTCGGCCTCTCCTCCGTGCCCGTCTATGGCGGCTCCGGCGTGGCCCAACAGATCAGCGAGCTCAAGCGCGGCGCCGAGGTGGTGGTGTGCACGCCCGGGCGCATGATCGACATCCTGGCCACCAGCAACGGGCGCATGATCGACATCCTGGCCACCAGCAACGGGCGCATCACGAATCTGAGGAGGGTGACGTATCTGGTGCTGGACGAGGCGGACCGCATGTTTGACATGGGCTTTGAGCCGCAGATCGGACGGATCATCGGGAACACAAGGCCGGACCGGCAGACGGTGCTGTTCTCGGCGACCTTCCCCCGCCAGGTCGAGACCATGGCGCGGAAGATGCTCACGAAGCCCATTGAGTTCCAGGTGGGTCATTCTCTGTCTGTCTCTATCTGGCTCTCTCACCCCATCTGTGTCCTCTCCCCATTTCTGTTCTTGTCCTCTTTCCTCTTCTGCCTACCCCTTTCTCACCAGCCCTCTTCTTGCGCACCCAGCGGCGCTGTACCCTCCGCTTTCAGCGCGCCCAGCATCGCACTCAGCATCACACACAGCGAAGCTGTTCCCTCTTTCCCCTTTTGACTCCCTCCGCTCTGCTCGATCCCCTTCCTCTCTCATCACTCGCACCATTGACGTCCGCTTGGAGGGCGGCCGTTTCAGGAGTCCGATTTTGATAATCTGGCGTTGATCATTCTCCTTTTCGAATTCTCTTTTCAGAAAATGCTCTAAATCTTCCTCATTTCTCCCCTCTCTCCATCCCCCCCTCAATCCTCCACAGGTGGGAGGGCGCAGCGTTGTCAACAGCGACATCACACAGACGGTCGAGGTGCGTCCAGAGGGAGAGCAGCGCTTCCTGCGGCTCCTCGAGCTACTAGGCGAGTGGTGCGACAAGGGCAAGATCCTGGTGTTCGTGCACTCCCAGGACAAGTGCGACGCGCTCTTCCGCGACCTCCTCAAGTCCGGATACCCCTGCCTCTCGCTGCACGGCGCCAAGGACCAGACCGACCGCGAGTCCACCCTGCAGGACTTCAAAACCAACGTGTGCAACCTGCTCGTGGCTACTAGTGTGGCGGCTCGAGGACTAGATGTTAAGGAGTTAGAGCTGGTAATTAACTACGATGTGCCGAACCATTACGAGGATTATGTGCATCGGGTGGGGAGGACCGGGAGGGCCGGGAGGAAAGGGTGCGCGGTGACGTTTATTAGTCCGGAGGAGGATCGGTTTGCGCCGGACCTGGTCCGAGCCTTGGAGCTTTCGAAGCAGCCGATTCCGGAGGATCTTAAAGCCATGGCTGATGCGTTCACTGCCAAGGTGAAGGCGGGGAGCGTTGTGGCGCATGGGAGTGGGTACGGTGGGAGTGGCTTTAAGTTTAATGAGGAGGAGGAAGCTGCTAAGAAGGCTCTGAAGAAAGCTCAGGCGAAGGAGTATGGGGTGGTGGTGGATGAGGAGGAGGGGGGCGAGGAGGAGGAGGAGAAGGAGGAGAAGGAGGGCAGCGGGGCGATTCGGAGGGTCGAGGCTACGAGTGCGGGTGGTGCAGCGGCGTCGGCAGCGCAGAGCATTGCAGCGGCGGTGGCGGCTGCTGCGGCTGCAGCTGCAGCGAACAAGGCAGGAGGTGCAGTGCCGGCAGTGGCAGGAGCTGCAGCAGCGAACCCAATCCAAGCAGCAGTGCAAGCAAGGATGGCCCAGATGGGTATCACCCCTGCTGCTGGCTCCGCTGGTGCAGCCGGTGCTACTGCTGCTGCTGCTGCCCTTGCCAATCCCCTTGCTGCTTCCCTCGTGGGAGCAGCAGCAGCAGGGGAATCAGCAGCGACGGCCATCGCCTCAGCAGCCGCCGCAGCCCCGACCCCCGTCTCCCGCGCAGCGGCCTTCGCAGCAGCCATCAGCCTGCAGCACAACTTAGCCAAACTCCAACCCGCCGAGCCCGTGAAAGCACACTACGAAGCGGAATTCGAGATCAACGAGTTCCCGCAGCACGCGCGGTGGAAGATCACCCACAAGGAAACCCTAAACCAGATCATTGAATGGACCGGCGCGTCGGTGACGACGCGCGGGCTGTACTGCCCGCCGGGCAAGGCATTAGCGGCCGGGGAGAAGAAGCTGTATTTGTCGATCGAGGGGCCAACGGAGGCGAGTGTGAAGAAGGCCAAGGTGGAGATCAAGAGGATTATCGAGGAGGCGAGTGCTGCTGATGCATCCCACCAGCAGCGCCCCGTGCAGCCGGGGCGGTACTCTGTCATGTGATGAGTGGGCAGGGGCGGGTACTCTGCCAGGTGACTGCTGCCGTGTGCGCAGAGGGGATAGGAGGGATGAGGGATTGTGGGGGGCTGTTGGGGGGTTGTGTGGGACTGGAAGAGCAGCGCCTTGTGCAGCGGGGGAAGGGGAAGGTATGTAGTGATGTGATGAGTGTGAAGGGGGGGCGGTTTGTGTCCCTTGTAGCTCCATGATGTGGCTGGTGCTGTCTGTGTGTAGGGGACAGGGGGAGGGAGGGAGGGGTTGAGTAGTGAGTGATTTGTACCGATTTTTGAGGCGCCTCAAAAAAAGGAACTCCTTGATGTGACTGGTGCTGTCTGCAGGTAGGAGACTGGTGAGGGGGTGAGCGGTGGTAGATTTGTACCAGTGTTGAGTGCAGTGGGGAGCGGTGTCGGCTCGTGCTGAGCAGTGAAGTGCGGGCAGACGGGATGAAAAGCGGCTCTTGTGAGCTCACAGATGTTCCAGAATGCCCCCGCTCGGTTGGGTCATCGTCACATTGCTCAATTATACGGTACCAGTGGGATTGTGCTGGGGCCTGAGTAATTTCCTGGTGTCGGCAATCCCTGTTTTATGTGACAGCTAGGCCATTGTTATTCCTCCTATACAGTAAACTCTCATGCACTCATTTAAAATGTGTGACACGACACGACGGTGTCGAATACCGGTATTATGCGCCCCATTTGAACGTCCTTTGTTTGCAAGTGGACATTCACTTGGACTCCTGGTCTAGTTAGTCCATTCGTCACACACTATTATCACGTAAGTTTATCCTGCTGGCTCATGAAATATTTTGTGGCAACTTCTCACTAGAAGGAATTTCTGAATCCTGGACATCAGATTTTGTACCAGATATACTTGCTTATATTATTGAGCATTACGGCGTGTAACTTCGCACTCAGATTTGTTCGTCGTTTTGAGAAATTGAACAATTTCGTTCGCACCTATTCGTGATCAGCGCAAATACCAGAATCGCAGCGTTTCGCGAAGAAGTACTTTGGCAGTGGTTTTAGGACCTAGGGTTTGGTGCTCCACCAAACCATACCATCTCTCCACTTGTCTCGTCCTCTCGTCCTAGCGAAAGGATCAGCTCTAGAGAATGCAGCTCCTGATTAGAGATCGAGAACCACAAGCTGTTTCAGAAGCCGCCCATTCTGAATAGAACCGCTCTGGGTCTAGCAGATTGCCAGCCGCATTTGGCGGGAGATAGAACTTAGTGCCTTGTTCAGCCGCCCTTTACGAGTTTGCACGAGCCTCGCATTTTCAGATCGACGCCTGTCACGTGGGGCATTGCGTTCCCAATTATGATCCCACCCAGGTACGACCCCACACCACCACGCGACGCGTAGATAACACGTCATGCTGGGCTAGGTTCAGCGTGTCACCACCTTCCATACGCGTCCACGCGCTGCGGATGTCGGTGCCAAGCCTAGCCGTAGGCAGGGTACCGAAAATTCCGATGTGTTTTAAGCCGTCCGATTCGAGCCCGTTTAGCCGTTGTTCTGTCAAAATAATCATAACGAGGGCAAAGCTTTGCCGTATAACGTTTTCAGAAGCACCGGAAACACTCCAACCGTTCGATTTTCGTGTTAGCTGGCGGTACCGTCAGACGAGCAGCAATGCGGACCATCGACTGGGCGCGTCGCGCAGTAAACGGGTTTGGTGCCGAAGCTCCACCCAAGGGTGCCGAACCAACGCTTGAACGATGGCCCCTTCGTTAACGGGGGAAACCTTTGCCGGGTGTGAGTAGATATGGTCACTTGACGAACATTTCTATTCAATCACAACTTGTTTGCTTCACACACTCGTTCAGTCACTCGCACAGACTTTCCCTCGTGCCTCTGAGAGCCCTCGTTGCTCGAATGGACTCGGTCAACCCTGAAACTGCTCTTGCCGTTGCTCTTGCTGCTGCCACGTGTTTCGGAAACGCAGCGAGGTACCTGTGGGAGGTACCGAGCTGGTTGGACTGCCCTGCACTCAACCCCCTTCCCTTCGAATGCCTCTACGAGTGGACTGCTGCTGATGAAGCTCAACTGAGAGCAGCACCGGCTGAACTCAGTGTGAGCGAGGAGCTGCTGCTCTTGGCGAAACTTACAACAGTAAGCTCCGCTGATTTTATCACCGAATGGACTGCTCAAGACGAGGCCGATCTGAGGGCTCCCGTCAGGAATCGCCGTGCTACGCTGAGCGTGAGCGACGAGCTGTTGCTTCTGGTGGGACATGCTGTAAACTCTGATGATTTTATCACAGAGTGGACGGTTGAGGATGATAGGTATTTGAGAAGTGCTTCAGTAAGGACGTCCGTTGGCTGGAGTGTTGCCGAGTGGGTGGCCGATCACGGTTCATTTAACCCCGCTGAATTCGTCACGGAATGGACAGACGCGGACGAGGCTTATCTGAACGATCACTCGATTAGGACTCCTGCAGATCGGAGTGAAGGCGAGCGGATGCTGCTGCTGGCGGCTCGCAAGCCCATGACCTCCACGGAGGTGGCTCTCAAGCTGGGCCGCTTTGCTGAGGCGAGCAAGAACCGCCGGGAACACCGTGGCGGAGCGCGGCTGGGCTTCTCGCCGTTAAGGCCCGCCCTTGTCACGGCTGTCGCTTCTGCTGTTGGCATGGTTGCCGCTGCTGCGAGTGCTGCTGCTGACGCTCTTTGTGCTGCTGTCGCTGCTGCTGTGCCTGTGGCTGCGGCTGCTGCTGCTGCTGATGCCGTTGCTGACGCCATTGCTGGCGCCGTTGCTGCTGCTTCTGCTGCTGTGCCTGTTGGTGCTTCGCCTACAAAAGAGGCTTGCAAGCCATCAGCACGATCAGCAGCGAAACCATCGCGATCAGTGGCGAAGGCAGCAGTACGGCCAGTGGTCAAGGCAGCAGCCCCATCAGTACGGCCAGTGGTCAAGGCAGCAGCCCCATCAGTACGGCCAGTGGCCAAGGCAGCAGTATCCGCTGTGGTAAAGCCGACTGCGTGCAAGCCATCAGCACGCGCAGCAGCTTCGCCAGCGGGACGACCAGCGGTGAAAGCAGCAACGAAGTTAGCCACACAACCACCCGTGAATGCAGCAGTCTGTGGTTCAGCCGTGAGAGGGACTGGAAAGGGAGAGGCAAACCAGGTTGGTGCTGCAGAGAAAAGTGTCGGATGCAAGGGTAAGGTTTCTGCAGTGACAGTTGAGAAGTCAGCAAGACATGCTGCTGCTGGTGGGGCTGCTGCTGCCACGAGCAGATTGAGAAAAGGTTCAATTTCGGCTGTGAGGGGGGACGGGAAGAAGGGAGTGCAGGCAGCAGCAGGGAGCAACAGTGAGCTGCGAGGCCAGACTGCAACAGCAGCCTCGCAGAAACAGCAGTCCCAGCAACCCAGGTGGAGGTGACAACTTGCTACTGAGTAGCTTATAGGAAAACTTTTACCTTGTAAAACATAGTTCACCCGGTGAACTTCGATAGGGCTAAGTCTGTTACTAGTAGGCCCATGTAAATTAGATGCTATTATGATCATTACTGTGTATATATCACAAATTTAAGGCACCACTTGCAATATCCAAGGGGCTTTCTCTGCTGTATGGGCTGTTGATCTTGTCGTTTGGGGCAGCTGAGGGGCGTACGGCATGCGTATGTCTCACATTGTTTGTATGCATGCTACAAGAGGCACTTGCATGCATGAATGTGTCAGTTGGCATGAATGTGTCAGTTGGCATGATTGTGTCAGTTGGCATGATTGTGTTAGTTGGCATGAATGGGTCAGCTGGCATGAAAGTGACAGTTGGCATGAAAGTGACAGTTGGCATGAAAGTGACAGTTGGCATGAAAGTGACAGTTGGGCATGATCTCTTTCACATTATGTTCAATTGCTTCACCAAGGAGGCATTTCCTTCCTCCTTCCCCTGTAGAACGCATGTGGAACACTGTGAAATTATGCTTGTGACTCTGTATGCCTTTCTATGGGCATTTAAGCATCACCACTAAGCACTGTGACCATAATTGCAGCTCATGGCTTGAAAATCATTACTTAATAATTACTCCATGCCCTATATCACTTACCTCAGCACTCACCCTCTCCCTGCCCCTTCACCCTCCCCACGCCCCCTGCTCTCCCCCTCATCCTCTCCCTCTCACCCCCCCTCATTGGGGCCAAGCAGTGGAGGGTGTGGTGGTGAACCTTTAGTTGACTGCGGCTTCCGAATGATTTTGACACTTATTGACCTGCTGGCCCGCAATGAGGTGCAGCAGCTTCGCCAGCAGGACGAGCAGCGGTGAAAGCAGCAGCACAACAGTCAGTGAAGCCGCCTGTGAAGGCGGTGGTAAGGTGGTGGAGGTGAGAGCTAAGCAGTCAGCACTCAAGCCCTCAGAACTAAAGGCAAGAGTCGCTGCTCCTGCTGCCTCTGGTGGGGCTGCTGCTGCCACGAGCAGATTGAGAAAAGGCTTGGTTTCGGCTGTGAGGGGGGAAGGGAAGAAGGGAGTGCAGGCAGCGGCAGGAACAGCATCCTCGCAGAAACAGCAGTCCCAGAAACCCAGGTGGAGGTGACAATTACGACTTGCTACTGGCTAGTGTATAGGAAAAGTTCTTCCTTGTATAATATAGTACACTGATAGGGCTAAGTTGTTACTTGTAGGCCCTTGTAAGTTTATGCCATTATGATCATGAATGTGTATCCATCACGAACTTTAAGACACCACTTGCAATAACCAAGGAGCTTTATCTGCTGTATGGGATGTTGATCTTGTTGTTTGGGGCAGTTGAGGGGCGTACGGCATGAGTATGTCTCACATTGTTTGTATGCATGGATGTTTACGCTGCAGGAGGCACTTGTATGCATGAATGTGCTGCTTGGCATGAATATTTTTATGCCCAAACCCCTCACCTCACCACTCACCCTCTCCCTGCCCCTTCCCCCTCCCTCTCCGCCTTCCTTCCCCCTCCCCATGCCCCCCTCCCTACCCGCAATCCTCTCCCTCCTGCTCCCTCTGCGCCAGTGAGGCAAAGCAGGGGAGGGTGGGGTGGGCAACCTTTCTTCGAATCCGTCTTCTGACTGCGTCTGACCCTTAGCCACTTTCAGTGCTTTCTGCTCTGCTGTTCCGCAAAGAGGTGAGCTTCGGTGAAATTTGAGACGACAAAAAAATACATTGCAATATCAATCTGGTTAGAGCGTGTTCCTACACCTCGTATCAAGAGAACCTCGTATCAGGCTCACACGGAAAATTCCCCTAAACCCAAAACCTCTCGCTAGTTTTACCAGGAAAAAAGTACATTCTTGATACGAGGTTTTCTGATATGAGGCCGTAGGAACACGCCTTTAGGTGAGCTATGTGGCTACTTCTGACGCGTGGCTGAAGCATGAAGATGGGGAACAGAAATGGGAAAAGGCGGGTGCGTTTTGGAGATGGGACTAATTCTTGTATCATTTTTATTACCCCAGCTCTGTTTTGTAAGTTCAATCTCGAGCTGTTACCGTCAGCACTTAGGTATCAGGCCAGTGTTCAGATATCCAGTCAGCAGTCATGCATCACATCAGGTTAGCATTTGGGTATCAGGTCAGCATTCAAGTATCAGGTCAGTGTTCAGGATTTTAAGAGAGCATTCAGGTATTCAGTCAGTATTTTCAGGTATCCATTCAATAGCCCTTTATCAAGCTAGCATTCAGGTATTCAGTCAGTATTTTTAGGTATCCATTCAATAGCCCTTTATCAAGCTAGCATTCAGGTATCAGGTCATGTCCGTGCCGTGCCAAGTCAAATCCGTGCCATGCCAAGTCAAATCCGTGCCATGCCAAGTCAAATCCATGCCATGCCAAGTCAAATCCGTGTCATGCCAAGTCAAATCCGTGCCATGCCAAGTCAAATCCGTGTCATGCCAAGTCAAATCCGTGCCACGCCAAGTCAAATCCGTGCCATGCCAAGTCAAATCCGTGCTATGCCAATTCAGATCCGTGCTATGCTAAGTCAATTCCGTGCCTGAAGGAAGAGCAGCCAAGGTCTTAGCTTACCATGTACTGCTTGATCACTCGTATGCATCTCCCTTGCGCTGTATTCATTCGCCAAACAGACATTCTCTTCAACTTCACCTGTAAATTATGTCTGTGAGGAAGCATGCTTGTCACTCTGTACGCTCCCACTGTGACCGATATTGCAGCTCAAGCCTTGAAATGATGTCAGAACCATCACTCCGTGCCCCGTTTTCAATCTTTCACCACTAACCCTCTCCCTGCCCCCTCACCCTTCCCCTGCACCCTCAACCTTCCCCCTCCCAGGCCCCTCACCCTCCCACTTACCATCATCCTCTCCTGCCCGCTCCCCTCCATCAGTGAGGCAAAGCAGTGGAGGGTGTGGGGGTCCACCTTTCGTTGACTGCGACTTGAAATGAACTCTCTAACTGCTTCTGACCTCTTTCCTCTTTTATTGAACTGCTCGCATGCAATCAGGTGAGCCACATTGCTACTTCTGTTTTGTACAGTGTCAATCGAGTTTTTGTGGCAGGTTGAGTAGTTCAGCAGGTTGGTATGTAGGTTGGTTGGTATGCAGGTTAGTATTCAGGTTGGTATGCAGGTTGGTATTCAGGTTGGCCTTCAGGTCACTACTCAGGTCTCAACTCTGGCCAGTATTCAGGCCAGTATGCAGGTCAGTATTCTACTAAATGCCATGTTGCGGCTGTGCCATCACAACCATCACACGGCCCGAGTTGTAGCGAACTCTCTGACGGCTTCTGACCCTTTACCGCTCTCCACTTATATCAAACTGCTGGCATGCATTTAGGTTGGCATTGGTGACTTTTGTGTTGACAAAAAGATCAACTCGCAGTAATGCAAACTTTTCTGCTGCATTTGTTTTGTACATTACCGAACCAGTTTCTGTAAGGCGGGTTGAGAGCTGCCCAGGTTGATATTCCAGTCAGTATTCAAGGCAGTAATATTTTCTAGGTATGTCATTTTGCCACTGGAAGAATGTAATTTTACTAACCTTTTGCAGGCAGTGCCATTGCGACAACCATAACACGGGGGAGAGACAACCATGCTTCTGTATCAGACATGTTTCATCTCAACTTCATGGCCAACTTCCTAGGCGTTTCAGAACACTTTCACCCTGACTGTGGTACCTAGTTGGCGTGAGAGAATCTTCAATGATGACTATGTACAGTTGTTTATTTACTTTTTCCTTTTGTGTATATGTAAAGTGTAAGGCATTGATTGACTCATTGTTAATCATTGGTTGCCAAAATTTGTCCATAATGTTGAAGTACTTCCTACTGGTAATTGATTGCAGAATGTTTGCAATGCATCCTTGCACATGTGAGGGTTGCTCTTGCTTGATAGATGCTCGTAGCAGCATGTATACATGGCAAAGAGTTACTACGGTAATCTGACAACCTACCGTAATGGTCTACACACTTGGGAAAGTACCCACAGCCATAGCCACAGCCACAGCTGCAGGCACAGCAGCATTCGCAGCCGCAGCTGGAAGCTTCATTGAAGATGTGGATGGTTAAACCACAGGCAATTCCAACACATGGCCTGTCCTGAAAAGAGAGGCCTGATTGGTGTGGTTGATGCTTCTGCGGCATACAAATGACGGCCTATGCACCTGATGCACAGAGTGATGCTGCTGTCCCTTCTCCCACCAACCTACATGAGCCCGGACCCTGTGGGCTGTTGATGGCCGTCGGTAGCACGTGTGCATGGGACGAGGAGAATTGGTGGCAAGGGATGAACCGAGAAGGTGGGATGGGATGAGGAGCAGAGATGGTCAGATGGGATGGGATGAGGAGAAAGGACAGTGGAAATGGGATGAGAAGCGATGGTGTGATGGGATGAGGAGCAGATATGATGGGATAAGATGAGCAGGAGAGATAGTGGGCTGGGATAATGAAAAGAGAAGGTGAAATGGGATGGGATGAGGAGCTGAGGTTGTGGGATGGGATGTTTTGAGAGATGGTGGGATGGGATGAGAGGCAGAGATGGTGGGATGGGATGAGGAGGCGGAATAGTCGAATGGGATAATGAGCAGGGATGGTGGGATGGGATGAAGAGGCGACATAGTGGGATGGGATGAGGAGAAAAGATGGCGAAAATGGGCTGAGAAGAGACGGTGTGATGGGATGCGGAGCAGAGATGGTGGGATGGGATGAGAAGGCGGAAAAGCGGGATGGGATGAGGAGAAAAGGCGGAGAAAATGGGATGAGAATGGTGGGATGAGATGAGGAGCGGAGACGGTGGGATGGGATGAGGAGAAAAGATGGTGAAAATGGGATGAGAAGAGACGGTGTGATGGATGAGGAGAAAAGATGGTGAAAATGGGATGAGAAGAGACGGTGTGATGGGATGAGGGGCAGAGATGGTTTGATGGGATGAGGAGCAGATGATGGGATGGGATGAGCAGCAGAGATGGTGGGATGGGACGAGGACCAAAAATGGAGGGATGGAATGAGCGGCAGAGATGGTGGGATGGGATGATGAGCTGAGATAGTAGGACGGGATGAGGACGCGAAATAATGGGATGTGATGAGGAGAAAAGATGGTGAAAATGGGATGAGAAGGAATGGTGTGATGGGATAAGGAGCAGAGATGATAGGATGGGATGAGGAGCAAATATGATGGGATAAGATGAGCAGCAGAGATAGTGTGATGGGATAATGAAATGACGGTGGGATGGGATGGGATGAGGAGCTGAGGTTTTGAGATGGGATGATTAGAGAGATGGTGGGATGGGATGAGGAGCAGAGATGGTGGACGGGATGAGGAGCAAAGGCAGCGGGATGGGCTGAGGAGCAGTGGTGGGATGGGCTGAGGAGCAGAGATGGTGTGATGGGATGGTGAATAGAGATGGTGTGATGGGATGGTGAATAGAGATGGTGTGATGGGATTGTGAATGGAGATGGTGGGATGGGATGGGATGAGGAGCAGAGATGGTGGGACAGAATGAGGTGCAGAGATGGTGAGATGAGATGAGGAGCAGCAATCGTGGGATGGGACGAGGAGCGAAGATGGTGGGATGGGATGAAGAGCAGAGTTGGTGGAAGGTACGACTGTGAAACAGAGATCGTGGGATGGAAGGAGGAGCCGATGGTGGAATGGGTCGGTAACTTACGGTACTTGAGGCAAAAGATGCACGTAGATATTAGCTTTCTAATGCTGCTCTCACTGAGAGTGACTATCAGCATCCTTCTGGTGTATGAATGCAAGTTTTATATTCCTTCTCTGGCCTTTTTCCCTCCCAACCAGCAATTTTCACGTCTGCAGTTTTTCCAGCAGAAAGAGTTCTGATATACGACTCTCGTAAATATGGACCTCATAAAATATGAAACCACCAACTTGGAACGGTGATGCATAACAATCAGTATAATTTTGCTACCTCGCGGCCATGTTGTTCCTGTCTTCCAGCTCCTTCTGCACTGCTGACTGCAGCTTGTCAATGAAGCTGTCAGCTGAGCAAGCACCAGGTATGTTGCTTGTAGCATGGGCGAGGAAAGGAAGTTTTCTTAGAATTCGCCCGCTAAGCCCCTGCAAGGATGATTAAGTTTAACACGACACGGACACTACTCCAAACAGCCACTCTTGGCGACTTTGAAAACGTACCTCACACGCCTTGGCGACCTCGAGAAGCTTCTTCCCTAAGTGGACACCCTTACTACTCCCCATGTCTTCACAATCGCTCAGCATCAATTCGTTGTAAGTGGACGGATAGACAGTGTTGCCCTGTCACTCATAACAGGAATCAGCTCACAAGGAAATTCAGAGAAAACTGAGATTGCAGAACCACAAATAACACGAGGGCAACTCGTACCTCCACCTCTTCAACAATCCCAACTCGTTGAAGCTCGCAGAAGCTCGAATGCAGCATATTATAACGCCCTTGCAGTGACGGTGGTCCAATAAAGGCTTTGATGTCAGCTCGGTCAATGAACGCCAGATCTGAAAAAAGAGAAAGGGCGCCATTTCATAGACCTTGAAGAACAGAGAATGAACTTTACACAAATGAGCCAGGACAGACCAATGGCATGTGTCAAATTCGAAGTCGTTAGAACCATGACGTTGGGATGCTGCTTCAGTTTATCAAGCTGAGTCAACAATGCATTCACGACCTGCACGCATGCACATGGGGGTATTAACACGCACTCATATCAAGGCCCTGACAGGTCACAGGTCAACATACCCTTATAGCATCCGAAGGATCTGAGCCATTTAGAGCAGCCTGACGTGCCGCAGCTAGGCTCTCAACTTCGTCTGACCAAGGCACAACTTTAGTAAGCACCTCATGGTGCACATAGGAAGTGGAATGGAAATTGGATACCCTCACGTACCAATAAGTACGAACACCAACGAACTTCTATCCTCCACAAAAGACTGGATGTGACTGAACAGCTTGCTCACCTGCAACGCAACACAGAATAGACATATGAGACCTTGTTCTCGGCTGGCATTACTATCGCCAACCTAGAACTTACAAGCTTTGCACTTTCGGAGAACCATTTGCTGAAGAGAGAGTGCGCATTCACTTCGATAAGATGAGCTGTCTGATACCTGTAGACTGGTGTTAACATTCAAACATTGCATTTGATCGAGCAGTGACAGGAAGCAATATAGTCACCTTTCTTTGAAACGTATAGATAGCTTTTGGGCCAGTGCCTTACTGAATGCAAAAGCAACAAGATAACAGGAGGGAAGTGGTGGAGAGTGTTTGGACTAAGAAGAATGATCTGTACGGATTCAAGGCCCCCAAAGACCAAAATGCAGAAAGCGGTACGTAGAAATGCTTACCACAGAGATGTTTTTCCTGTACCAGGTGGTCCGAACAACAAAACCACCCTGAAAGTTGAAATGGGTCAGTAAGCATATCAACGCATCACAAACAATCTGGTTGCGTCCGTTTACCTGTTCCAAGAAACAAGCTGACAGTTTACGCCTTTCTCTGAAAACAGAAGTGCACTTGCAGCATATCGAAGAAGTCGGTGCTTGATTCCTGAATCATAGACCAGACTGGAAACAAGAAAGCAGTCAGAACGATACAACTGACTGATCTCCAGCAACTCTTGTACGAGCAAATGAATAATTTCGAATGTACCTTTCCCAAAGACCATGGAAATCCTCTGACGGAAGATTCCAAGATCCAAACGAGGCAACCTCTTGCTCTTGTTCCGTGTCTTCAACAGCGCCTCCTCGACACAACTGCTCACATTTCAGATTGTATTTCATTTCGTAGGTCACGCCAATTTTTTTTTTTATATATATAATTCCTTGGGAAATCAGACCTTGAAGATGCTGATCTGAAGATCAACTTGCCAGAAGAGAATAACCTGATTCGCAATAGTTTGCTCATCTGCAATGAACATGCTCGTAAGGACAGCAGTAACTGCTAAGTGAGGCAGTTTATGACAATTCTTACTTACCGATGTCGACAAAGTGAATTGAAGCTACGTTGTCATCAATGAATGGCTCTTCGCCCGAATTGAGAACAAGAGGTCCATTAGCAAAGACTTGATGCCTATTTGCGAGCAACCTGCACTTTGGAAAAAGCTCTATCAGTCACATCAAAAGCCAACAGAGAATGCAAGATATGATCAGGTGAAATTGACCTGTAGATTGATGCACGGACGTCGCTAAAAGAGGCTTCTGAATCTGCTTTGAGGCAAACTTCAACTGCAATACGGAACGACGACTGTTAGATTACAGCCGTCGAGCTTAAACTCCGCGAACCATGCTACGTGAACAAACCTGATATAGGGATTTTTGCCGAAAAGACTGAAGACTCAGCGTCGATGCAAGAAACATCCGCGTCTGTCTCTAAGAAGGAATCCATTTGACAGCCAACCTCAAGTGACTGGTTAGGAAGCGCATTGTAGTCTTCAGCATCCATGGCAGCAGACTAGAATCGACGCGTTGCTTCGTGTTTTAGCTTTCACTACTACGTTGTTTGAGGAGAAGAGCTATTTCATTCACCTGCAGCGCGCACCAGCAAGTTCCCTAGGTGAAAAAAGGAAGACTGCATCGCAGGGAGTTCCAGCACTACGTTGTGTAAATCGTCTACACTTACAAGAATGTTGTACATCTGTATACCCCATTACATAAAGCATCCACACAAATTGGGTTGTGCACAAAGCAACAAAAGTTGAAGTCCATCTGGTCATATTACATTCTTTCCTCTAGTGTTGTTACAATCCCAAGTGGGACTTAGCGAAGGATCACTCATTGTTGATCGCATGGTAGTGTTGCAGCCGAAGTATTGACCTCCGGCCAAAGTGAATGTAAATGACTGAGATTGATAATAGCATGCATAAATCGAATTTATATAGGAAATACAAGGAATACGAAACGACCTAGACTAGCCATGTAATCTAAGGGGTACATTCCCTCATTACAACGAAGTTCAAATCGTGCGGCGCGGGAACCTGTTTCAAACATGTTCCCGCTCTTTTCACTTCAGATGTTTCTGCATGTATCGCAGTTACCAGCGTCGCTTCGACTCTTCTGACTCCTCGACTTCATACTCGGTAGGGTCGGCTCCTGCAGCATACAGGAATGCCTTCTCATAAAGTTTCATATCGTAACACCCCCCTTCATTCCTGGGCGCGCAAGGGGCTGACCCGCTTGACTACTCCGGTGAGGTTGGAGCAGTGCTTGTACTGCTGACGTGGCAGTCGCTTGGTGAGGAAGTCAGCTGCCATTTTGGTGGTGGGGCAGTACGCGAGGTCAACTTTGCCCTGGTCAATTTCCTCGACGAAAAAATACCGAAGCGCAATGTGCTTCATGCGGTTCACGAACCCTTGTTTGTTCGCGATCTTGATGGCGCTTTGGTTGTCGCAGTGAAGGCGAAAGGTAGGCGAAGTTGGGATTTTCGCTTCCTGCAGCAGCTCCTGCAGGTACAGACCCTCGCGAATTGCTGCTGTCACGGCGATGTATTCTGCTTCAGTCGATGACAGGGCAACCAGCTCCTGCTTCTGCGAGTTCCAGGAGATTGGTCCTTTTGGCTCCAGTCGGAAGACAAAGCCGGTTCGTGACCGTCGATCCGCAGGATCAGCGGCGTGATCTGCGTCCACGTAGCCGTTGAGGTTGAAGGAGGTTGTCGTCAGCGTGGAGTAGGAGAGCCCGATGTCAGGTGTGGAAATGAAGTACTGCAGGGCGCGCTCCAAATCGAGCTGGTTCTCTGCCAATGGCTTGCGGGAGAACTGTGCCAGTTGGCTGGCGATGTACGAAAGGTCGGGTCGGCATGTGACAGAGGCGAACAGCAGGCATCCCAGTTGCTGCTAGTACAGTTGTAGTCCTGCGGGTGATAGAGGTTTGTTGTCCGGTTTGTAATTGGCGCTGGGGTTGCGGTAAGGGGTTGACAGTGGTGCGCGTGAGATGTTGAAGCGTTCCCCCAGCTGCTCTGCGTACTTGGAGGCTAACAGGTGAATTGCTTCTGGCGCGTAAGTGATGTTCAGCCCCAGAAACTGTGTGACGTTGTGGTTGATGGTGATGTCAATGCGCTGCGCCAGGTTCTCCTCGAACTAATTAAGGAGCTTGTTGCAGGTGCATGTGTAGAGTAGGTCGTCGACGTAGACGGTCAGGAGGATTTAATCGCCGTTGAAGTGGAGGCGGTACATTCCCGGGCCGTGCGGTAGCTGCCCGAAGCCGATTTCGAGAAGGATTCTGTGCAGATGATGTTGCCAGAGGCGCGACGCCTGCTTTATCCTGCAGAGGGATTTCTTCAGCTGACAGACCATGGAGTTTCCTTCCTCGTAGGTGTGTGGCTGCTCCACGAAGATGGTTGCATCCACCAGCGCGTACAAAAACGCGTTCTTGACGTCAATCTGCCGCAGTGGCAGGTGCTTAGCAGTGGCGGATGGTGAGTAGAATCCTGACGGAGGTGTGACGGCTGACGGGAGCAAAGGTTTGATCGAAATCAATGTCGTGGCGCTGGCCGTACCCGCGTACGACCCAGCGTTCTTTGAAGCGCTCGATGGTGCCGTCAGCATTAGTTTTATGACGAAAACCCATGTTCCGCTTAGCACCCTCCTCCCCTTCATTGCTGCACGATCGACTAGGACCCATGTGTCACGTGATTCCAGTGCCCTCAGCTCCGTGTCCATGGCAGCACGCCACTCCTTGGCGTGAGGACCAGTTAGGGCCTCGCGAGGGTTCTTGGGCTCGACGACGCGCGTGAGAGTAGTGACAAACGTGTGTAGGCCAAGAAGCTGCAGGCCGTACACATTAGTAGTGTCAGTAGTGGTGACCTCCACCACATCGTCGTCGTCACTCTCGTGGGCAGTTACGGAAGTGCTCGGCGGGGTGTGGTGACGCGATGGTCCTGGTGCAGGGGCGTCATCGTCATCATCTCGTCGTAATCGCGCGGGCGTGGCGGAATACCGGGATGGTCATCGGCAGGGTCGCGGTCGAGTGCTACTGCCTTGTCCTCGGGAGTTGCAAAGCTGCGGCCGTTGTTGGCGTAGGCGCGTGCGGCGTTGCAACGCTCGTCCTCTATCCACTACTCCAAGGTGAGACGCTCGTAGAAGAGAACATCACGAGCGGGGACGATCTGCTTGTTGTCAATGTCAAGAATCAACCAACCCTGGTACTCATGACTGAGCCCCAGGTGGACGCCCCATCGCGTGCGGTGAGTGAACTTGCCGGTTGTGGCCGAGGTCGGCCGATACTGCACCATGTACCCCCATACCCTTAGCATGGAGGTGTCTCCCCTTGAGCTGGTCCACTTAATGTGTGGGGAGAGGTTGCCCCTGTTGGCCGTGGTGGAAAGGAGGTTGTGCAGGCGCACGGCGTGGTTCATGGCGTAAGGCCAGTACTTCTTGGGTAGGCCGGACTGATTCATGAGGGCGCGTACTTTCGTCATTTACGGCTAGTTCCATTTACGTCATGCCTGTGGGTTCCGCCTCAGTGCTTTCTGCTTCTTGAATTGCCGCAAGGTCTCTTTCCACCTCTTTTGTGCGGCTTGCTATGGATGTGTGGCAGGTGACGCAGATTCTGTCGGGGCCAGGTTGGTGCAAATTTATCTCGCGAGGATGACGGCTGCGCCGAATCCACGATCGACTGTCTGGATGCTGCCATGACTCCTCGCCTAGATATGAGAAGCCAAGGGGGACGAGGTCCACGAGCTCGTCAGAGGATGCCTGGCAGTTGGGAATGTCGAAGTCGAGCACGTAGACGCCGTTGATTGAGCGTGCCCTTCCGAGGTATTTATGCGACTCGACGGGTGTGTCTGGAGGAGCGTAGGTGAGAACGAGGTCGCGCGTGTAGGGATCCGTAGCGAGCATTACTCCGCAGTGTCGCAGTTGTCCTGCCGACAGCAAGTTAAAGCGTGGGTCCAACACATAGAGCACGTCGTTAAACGAGATGTGTGTGTTGCTGTCCCGAGCTTGTAGCACCACGATGCCTTGTGCATTTGCGCAGTTGTATTGGCTGATGCCGGTCTTGCTCGTCCTCTTCATATAGGTAATCGTGATCTTCAGTGAGGGGATTGTTCCACCCTTCTTCAGGTTGAATGAACCCGCCACGAGGTTCTTCTTCTTCATCCGGTTCAGCAGCGCGTGGGCGACGTCTTGTCGCCATGTTGGCGATCACGTTCCTAGGAGCTCCCGTTGGGGTCCTTGTGTCTGCTGTTGCTGCTGTTGGGGATGAGCAGGAGGGCGTGGGGCTTGTTGCTGAGAATGACGAGCGTCTTGTCGGCCGACCCAGTTATTATGGTGAGTGGAGTTCGGGTGGCGATAGTTGGACCGGGACTTGCATCGGTCCGTTGAGTGTCCAAAGACTTTGTAGATTTTGCAATAATGGCGCCGTAGCTGTCGTCGCTCTTCACGGTTGTCTGTGTAGAAGGCAAGGCGCTCTCGGCGTGACGCGGAGCTTGTCATGCTCGAATCCATGTCCTGCTATTCAGTCAGGAGGGCAGCGCATAGCGCGGCTTCAGATATGATTCCTCGTTGTCAGAGTAGCACTTTGCAGGGCTTCCACTCTGGCCTGAGTCCTTGGAGGACGATATTGATGAAGATTTCCTTTGAAATTGCGCTTCCATGCTTCGTGATTTGGTCACGGATGTTTCGACAGCCGTTAATATAAGACTTTGCTTTCTCCCCATGCCCCATCTTGGTCTCCATGAGTTGCTGCAGGAGCCTGCTGGCGGTGACTGATTCCTTCGGCTAATATACCTCAACGAGTGCTTCCAGGCTTCCAGCGCTGGAGCGGTGCTCTCTTTGTAGGAGCGAATGCTGAGTTGTTCCGCAGGCGTCATATTGCGTAGCAGCAGGCTGTACGCCATAAGGGACTCGCTGTAGTACTGAGTCCTGGCATCTTCGGAATCTTCTACCAGTTTTGTGTAGGACCCGTCGAAGTAATGGTAGATCTGCGATGTCTGTAGGAGGAGCTCAAGCTCGAAACTCCATGTGTAAAAATCTTTGCCGTCAAATATGGCAGTAGTCTTAATTTTAGAAACGTTGAGAAAGTGTGCTTGGGCAGAGTTGATGGCTTCATCACTTGGACGGGGGGCTGTTGTTGTTGATTTGTCTGTGTCCAGGGAGAAGGTGTGCGTAGCGGTATCACGGATTTTCGCAGCAGGTTGTCCAGGTTGAGCTGGTTGGGAAGAGGTTCCTACATCGCCTTTGCGCAGTTCTTGGAGGTGTTTCTCCATAGTTGAGAGTCGCAAAAATAACGGC